GGCATTTCTGATCTCAGCTGATTCTAATTCTTTTGTAATTCATTGACCCTCAACTAGACTAAAACAACTGCCTCCAAATTGTTCTTCCTTCTTCAAGTCTTTCCCCACTCAAGTTTATCATCCACACAGCTGCCAAGGTGATGTTCCTTAAACACAGGTCTGACCATGTCACTCCTCCATTCAGTAAACTCCAGTGGCTCCCCATTGCCTCTGGAACAAAACATAAACTCCTCCTTGTTTATTTTTCAAAGCCTTTTACAACTTGGTCCTAACTTACCTTTCCAGACTTGTTATACATTATTCCCCTTCCCACACATTATGATCCAGCCAAACTGGCCTTCTCTTTGCTCCACATACATGGCACTCCATTTTCTGTCTTTATGCGCTTGCACTGGCTATCCGACATGATTTTAATGTAATCCTTCCTCATCTCTTTTTCAGAGAATCTCTCTCTTCCTTGAAGATCTAGTTCAAATACCATCTGATATATGAATTGTTTCCTGCCATTCTATATACACCTACATATGTACTTGCTGACTCTCCCATTGAATGTAAATGCCATGATACTAAAGATTGTTTCATTCTTTGTACTTGTACCTTCAGTGCCTAGCATGATACCTGGCACAGAGTAGATGCTTAATAAATTCCTGACTGATTGATGCACATAATGGGCACTGAGCAAATGCTTGTTTTATGTTAAAGACCTGCTGAAAGCATGAAGGTTTAAAAAAAATCTATTATCTGTTAACAATTTATTTGGTTTCTACTGGGTATGTACCTACTAGGACCCTAATATGTTTAAAAAACAGATTTGATTCAGGAAGGGACACAGAACAAATACTGTTTGCCACTAGACATCATAGAAGAGGCAGTTCTGATCTTTCAAAGGAAATAGGACAGCTTTTGAGAAACAGCAATCATACATATCCCCAGGATGCTGAGGACATTTCTAAAACTTTAAAGTCCTAGAAGATTCCTTAGAGATCATCTAGTATGAGATGAAAAAGATGAGACAGTGCATTGAAATGACCTGCTCTGCATCAGTGACAGAGAAAAGCCTGGAGTATCAGGCTTCTGATGCTGAGTCTAACACTATTTCTGTCTACTATGCTGCCTTGACTTTTTCAAAATTTCACAGGCAAAAAAATGTAAATTCTGAATGTAAAACTAAAAAGCAGAAATTTTTCTTTGGGAATGGGAAGTATCTTTCTGAACTGCTTAAGAAAGAACAAGAATTTCAAGGATTAGTGGCAAGAAGTATTTTACTCTCAAATTCACCCTGTTATTCAAGTAAACAAGATATGAATTTTATAAACATTTTATCTCTAGCTGACCTATTTACTTCAGACCCTAACTAAACCTTCTCCACTCTCTTTCCTCTTTTCCTTCTCTTCCTCTTCTGTTGTGGTTTTCTACCTTTCCTACTCCCTTAACTGACAATAATACTGATATACTTGTAAAATGACTTATTCTTTTTGCTGAATCCTCTTCTATTAACTTTGCCTGGTGTGAAGACCATACTGGGTTCCCAAAGGCCATCCTTACCAGTACAGCACAAGGCTTTAATAGACTCTACAAATCTATAAATGGACTGTGGCCACGTTGCATAAAGGCTAGCCTAAGTATGTGGTGGCATATCAGCACAAGGCTGGCCAGGAGAAGAAGGTTTGGGGGCACTGCAATTCACAAAGACTGTCTAGTAAGGTGTGATGAGATTGCTATATGTGTGGGTGCAAGTAGCACCAAAACCACAGGATTCAAGGTCTTTCTGTAGTCCTGAAGAAATATTTGATGAAGTTATATAGTCTTGCTCACAATTTTAAAATCAGGTAAGTGAAATACATAATTTATATTTTCTTTATAAAAAACAAACAAACCCTAACTCTCTGCTAAATTGCTTTTCACTTGATGTAGCTATCTATTGATTGTTTTTCTCTGGCTTACTTGGGCCTCCACTGAAAAAAATGTTTCCCACTCCTGCGTATTTCATGTTTTTTTTTTTTCCCTCTTCCACATATGCCCCCTAGTGGAACAACAAAAAAGCCAGTAAAGGAATATGGAGATCCACTAAGGGGCTTGGATAATACACCTGTGAATAAACTGAACTAATTGTATTTGGAACTTCACTTCCAAAGCTTAAGATTTCCTCCTTCCTTACAGAACAACACGACAATGCTATATTGAAGTGGAGGTTGGCTCAGAATATTTTGCTGGTGACATTAAAACATTCATTTTGACATAAAACTGGCAGGAGTATAAACATGTACTAAAAAATTGGTCAAAACATTGAATATTTAGGTAGTATTTTTAGAGAAAAATGTGTTCTACATAATCATCTTAATGAAAGAGAAATCAATATGGAGGTAAAAATAGTGGCAATGAAATTCCAATAAAAGTGCAAGAATATTATAGAACTTTAGTTTCCCTTGTTTACTGCACTAGAGCTACTTTATAATTTTTTTTAAAGCAAAATGCTTGAAAGTCTAGAATTTTAAAAAAAAATACCTTGGAGGATAAAAACAAAAATAAAAATAAAAAATTGCTCAATTCTTAGCTTATATGTTTATGAGCCGTTAAAAGTTCAAGAGTAGTAAAGATAGGGGGTAGGCCACGGAGTCAAAAAGATATGGTTCAAATCATGCTTTTGACACATACTAGCTATGGAACCTTAGGCAAGGCACTTAACCTTTATGTGCCTGGAGGCAACTCTGTTAGACTATAAAGTAGAGAAGGCAGCACATCTGCGTAAGTGGAAGCAATTTTTTCACCTGGAGTTCCCAATAAGATCAAATCATAGTATCATAGGATTGATCACAAATCTAAAGCTGGGAGGGGCCTTAAAAGTCACTACAGAGGCAAAAGACCTTAGAAGCCATCTAGTCCAATTTCCTCATTTTATAGATGAAGAAACTGAGGTATGCAGCAGAACTGGGATTTAAACTCCAACTTTTGTGTTCTTTTCACAGTACCAGTGTCCCAATTGAAATTTTCAACACATTCAATCCTTTTAGATGATGCATTACATTCTGTAATATTAAAAGGAAAACTATCTTCCTTTTATTTACCTTACTGAATCTGAAGAAATGATAGCATTCCTTTTGAAATGATCTACACAGAATTAACAATAACCTATAAGAAACTTGATGACAGAAAATCAATACTTTCAATTTACCATCAATACCCAACTTTACAATGTACAGGGATTCTGAGTCAACTATTAGTAAAGTTTATTATTAGGCTGACACTATAAAAGAGACAATTCTTAATGGAAGGAAGCATCCGACAGGAAAAGAATTACATAGAATCTGTGGCATACATTAATGTGGCAAGGAAAAATACAACTTCTGGGCTTTAATGCTACAAAATTATAAAAATCACATCTTTTGTGGTAAGTTTTTAAAACTCTGTCTTCACTTAAGAGGGGGAGGTTGGTGCCCCCAAAATCTGTCATACAGCTAATGGTAGTTATTGGGTTAGTAAACAGATGGACATACTACATTATGTTGTGTTCTGGTGGTAGGCAGCCTTTAGCAGTGGGTTTGTGTACTTTTTGGGGCCTGGTGGGGCATTTCCAATGTGAGGGTGCAAGGGTGAGGCATTTCTAGTATATGAGGTGTGAAAGGAAGAGTCTGTAAGGGAAGAGGGGGTTGAATGTGGGGTGGTGAGGGTGCCTAAGGGGTGTGTGTGTGTGTGTGTGTGTGTGTGTGTGTGTAATGGTAGATAGTAGAGCTATAGAGGATGTGAAAACAAAAATGCTACTCATCTCCAGGGTGGCTCTGAAACAGGAGAGAGGAAGAGGATGAAGGGAAGACAGAAGAAGGAGAGCACAGAAGAAAAAGGATGACTGAAGAAAGTGAAGGAAGGGTAGAGAAGAAGGATGATGAGAAGGGCAGCGGAGAACGAGAAGGAAAAGGAGGATAATAGAAGGGGGAGAGTGAAGAAAGGGTAGAGGAGAAAGGCAGAAGAGGAGAGAGGGCCAAGAATAGAAGGAGAAGGACAGAGGAGAATGAGGAGGAAAGGAGGACGACAGAAGGGGGAGAGTTGAGAAAGGGTAGAGGAGAAAGGAAAAATAGGAGACGATCAAGGGAGGAAAGTCCAAGGAAAAGAGTAGATGAGGATGATAGCGGAGAAAAAATGGAGAAAGGAGGGAGGAGACAGATGAAGGAGAAACAAGAGGAGGAAGAGGTAAAGGAGCATCTTGGAGGGGGAGAGTGGAAGAAAGATGGAGAAGGACAAAGGGAAGACAGTGGAAGGAGGAGCATATGGGAGAAAGGAAGAAAAGCAGAAGGATAGAGGAAGGAGAGTGGAAGACAGGTGGCAGAGCAGGAGAGAGGCAGGGAGGAGAGTAGAAGGGAGAAAGGGGAAGGAGGAGGGGGAAAAAACTATGATAGAGGAATGAGAATGGAAAAAGTAGGGAATGGGAGAAAAGATATGGGAGCAAGGTGAAGAAAGGAAGAGAATGAGGACAACAGACAGAGGAGGAGAGAAAACGGGAGTGGGGGGGAAGGACAGTAGAGGGAAGAGAGAGAAGTGTGCAGATTAGAGGACAACAGAGGGAGGTGGAGGAAAATGAATCGTGGGAGGGGAGAAAAAGTGGAAGGGGGAAGAAGGGGGAGGAGAAGAGAGGAACGAGGAGGAGAACGGAAGGTGAAGGAGGAAAGAAAGAGCAGGAGGCAGAGGAGGGAGGGAGGAAGAGGAAAGGAGGAGGGAAGAGGAGGAAGGAAGGAGGAGACGGGAGGAAGAGGAGTAGAAGGAGGAAGGGGGAGAAGAACTGGAGGGAGGAAGAAGGAGGGAGGAAAGAGGAGGAAAATGGAGGGGGAGGAGGAGGGAGGGGGAGGGGAGGAGAAAAGGGGGAGGAGCAGGCTGCGGGCCTCGGCCCTCGCAGGCCTAGGGCTGGACGCTGGGCGCTGCAGAGCCTCCCTCCAGGCCAAGCCGGACTGACCCCCACAACCCGACGGGTGTCCTCGCCGGCTCCACCGTGCTCCGGCCGCGTCGCTCACCTTCTGCCGGGGCTGGCGCTTCTCCTCCGGCTCCTCTCCTCCTGGCCGCCGCCGCCGCCGAGACAGAGAAAGCGGATAGGCGGCCGCCTTCAGCAGGGAGTGCCGCCGCCGCCAGCGACCCCTGTTGGCCGGAGGCCGCCGTGCTTTGAGCGTGGAGTGGGGCGGGCTTGGGCTAGCTGGGCGGCCACTTTTGACACTGGCCGGGCGGACAGCGTCCAACTCTGGCCTTCAGCCCGTCCTAGCTTACGCGAGTCTATAGGGATAGGTGTGGGAGGTGAACTAGGGAGAGAAAAAAAATTTAATAGAGTTGGTTTTCCCCTCAGGAATTCCCCATATCTATTAAATCCAGTAAAAAATTAAGTCCATTAAATTAAGTCTATTTAAATTAAGTAAAAAAATTAAGTCTATTAAGTCCAGTAAAAATTTGTTTTGTTTTGGCCAGGCACCATGCTAGGCCTAGGACTATAAAAAAAATTTTAAAAAAGATAGCTACTGCCCTCAAGGAGCTTATGTTCTATGGGAAGGTTGTCTAGGAGAGGATAAATAATAGGTGCATAAATAAGTATATTCAAAGTAGCACAAGGGAGAATTAGGAAAGGTCCTGTGTAAGAGGAGAAAGGAATTAATTGCCCCTCGAAGGGAGCTAGGGACTTTGAGAAGTGGAAATGAAAAGGGAGTATGTTCCACATATGAGAGGACATGAAAGATCTGTTGAAAATGTGGTATTGTACTTGTGAATATGTATCTTCCTTAAATAATACTCACACTTATATTGCATTTATTTTCATTTATTATTACATATATTCATATTACATATTGTATTTGAGGGGGTACACATGAGTTTGATGGAATATATATACATATATATATGTATATATATAGACCCTTTTGGCAGTCTGGTGAAGCCTATGAACCCCCTCTCAGGATAATGTTTTCAAATGTACAAATTAAAATACATAGCATTACAAAGGAAATAAAAATATTAAAATAGTTATTAATTTTTTTTAACCAAGTTCATGGACCGCAGGTTAAGACTGCCTAGACTAGATGGACTCTAGAAGTTTCCTTTCAACTCTGTATCTATGATCTCTTGGTAAACTTTTGAAGAAACTCTTTCCACCAATATAGATAAGCTATTTCTCTGTAACTTAGTCCCGAGGAATTGTTTAGTGCTGTAGTTCACTGAGAAGTTAAATGACTCTTGTTGGAACAGCTAGTATGTGTTAAATAGGCAAGACTTGAAACCAGATCTTCCTGGTCCCCTATTCACAGTTATCAATAACTATATAGATAGTAATTTTTAAAAAATGATAAATTGCACTGAAACAGTCTAGCAAGCTTTCAGGTGGTTTCTTCCAGATTTGGACACTAATTTATATGAAGGGTTGGCAAATCTAATCTGAATCTGAAACTTTTTGTAAAGTTCCTAAACTACACTGTTTTTATTAGTTTCATTTTGAGATTTCATTGAACTTTGGCTTCACTAGTCATTCTGAATTCAAATAAAGAAGTACTATGTGAATGTAGAAACTATGTATTTCAATCACTGCAATGACAGAAAAATATGTGCATTAGAAAAATAGATGGTTATAAACAAAAGGAAATGTGAGGCTTACATTTTCTTCTTGCCCCATATCATTCTCCCAACAATTAGAAAGAGGTCAAAGAGTACTATGGCAATATAGAGCAATTTTTACTAAAGTGACAAACACAAAATTAGTATCCTAAAAGATAAATGACCAGAAGAGTGTCTTAGAGAAGGTTAAAGAGCAGTAAACCCATGGGACCTATTATAATGAGCAGGGCCATTTCATAGGTAAAGATTCCAATTGATAATAAATAAAATAAAATTATTTGGGATCTAAGATGCTTTTAAATTTTTCTTTGAACAGTGACACCAACCTGAAGTCAGCTTTTGCACTTTAATCAACTTCTGTATTTTAGGCAATGCCATTAATATTTATTGGTTGGTTTGGTATTTCATTGCTGAGATTACCTGTATAGAATTAAAGTCCATTCTATATGAAAATGTTTGGCTTTTCAACATAATGCTCATTCAGGATCCTCCAGATGGTCTAGGGACTGGTCTTTTGTAATATTAATGCTTTTATCCAAACAATTGTTTTCATCTTTTTTGGGGTCAGGAATGAATAATTGATTTATGATATTAAATTTTACAAACAATGTAGGCATTTCCTTCCTGTTATTTCATCAAGAGAAAAGTTGTTTGTCCCATTAATTCTAGTATGGAGGGGTGAGGGGAGGGGAAGGAAATAGGCAGTAGATCCATATGGATCAGATAGATGGGCCTGTCTTCTGTCCTACTGAAGTGATCCAGGGACTGAAGAATCAGCAATTTATAGAATGTTAATTCAGATTTATATTGTGCTTTAAAATTTACCAAAAGCTCTTTTTAGAACAGTGGTTTGGAGTAGGTACTAAAGTGACTATCTCCACTTTCTGTAGGAAGAAAGACTTGAAGAGATTGCCGGTGATCACACACACACAGCTAGTAAAAGGTAGCATGCTGATCAGGAAGTTGAACCTAGCCAGTTCTAACTTCAGGCCTAATTTTCTTCCATAAACATCATATCATACCATGGCAGAGAGGTATCCACCGTTTGGTTAGAAATAATATTGCCTTCAACTAAGGGTTTATTGTGAGTCAAGTCTAAATTTGGCTCTAGGTTTTTTTTTTTTGGGGAAAAAATACAACTGGGCACTCATGAGCCATGAAATTCAATTAAAACTCCTTTAAATAATTTAAACACATATAATGTAAGAATAAAAAGGCTATCAAATACAACTCTGTTTCCACATTTACTGATTCAGGAACTAAAGGAGGTAACCTTCAGGCAGTAGGAATTCAGAAAAAGATCTTTGGCAACCTTCCCCCACACCCAGGCTAATCTTTTTATAGTTTAAAAGAGCTACCACCCTGCCCCAGGTTCCCACTGCCTGGTTCCTCTTAGGACCTGCTGACTTTGTTTATGGGTCAACCTCCTTTGCTGGTGGGGAAAGGCAAGTCGAATTCTGAGGAGTAGCCTGATCTTGTCTTCTCTGGAACCTATCTTACCAGCCTATTCTACAGAGGCTGACCTGAAAATAACATGTGATGTAATTAGAAAAAAAATAAATACTTGAGTGGAAGACTAATGAACATTTTTGTATGGCAGTTTGCTACTGTTTTCCAGACTTTACCTTAGGAAAACAGCAGCAAACTGAGAAAAACAGTAGCAAACCGCCCAAGTATGCTTTATATATGTGATTTAGATACTTTAGCTTTTAGGTGGATATGTCTGTTGATATTTTTGATAAATCTCTGATCTGGTTGTTGTGGCTGCTTCGTTTATAAGTGGAGGTTGAAAATTATAACTGAATTTAGAGTCAGAAAACCTGGGTTCAAATCCATATTCTGATACTTACCTGAGTGACCTTGGACAAGTAATTTCACCTTTTTATGAACCCTCTGCTCCCTCATATGTCAAGTGAGGACATTGGAGTATATGGATCCGTTCTAGCTCTGTGATTCATCCACATGTTCTCATATCGTTTGATTCTTGTCCTTGTCTTCCAATAAGTCCTTCATAGAAAATCTACCCAGACTAATGTGAAAATACACTTTACATGATTGCACATGTATAACCTCTATCTTTGCTTGCTATCTTGGGAAGGGCAGAGGAGAGAGAGGGAGAAAAATTTGGAATTCAAATATCTTATAAAAAATGAATGTTAAAATTTTTCTTTACTACTAGAAAAAATAAAATAATATTTACATTTTTAAAAAAAAGAAAAGAAAAAAAGAAAATCTACCCAGCTTGTTGGGAGGAGGGGTGTGTGTATGTGTGGAGGGGCTGTTCCTGAAGGTTATTTAACATTTTTTGGCTCCCTGGGCCTCACTCAGGCCTTTGTCTGCAATCTCTTCTTTTGATTATATGATTGACTGACCTAATTTCTGGGTCACTGGCATCTCTTCTCACTTCTCAGGGGTAAGACATTGTCAGGAATATGTTACAGCTTATCTTTCCTAGATTGATGAGTGAAATTTAACAACAAGGTAAACTAAGGCTTATTTCTCCAAGCAAGACAGCATTTTGTTATCAAGGCCAGTGACCTGAGAATAAGATGGGTCATTGGCTTGCTTCCATTTATGCCAAAGATCTAGAACTGAAGATGCAACTCGTTTTTATAAGCATAGAACAAAGAACAGTACAGGGGAAGTTATATCCTGGGGTTGAGGAGAACATTGAGGAGAGGGGAACAACATAATTGGTTGGAAGTTTGGTGACAAGGGGCTAGCAATCACTCCTTTTGTCCCCACTGTGACTAAGAAGTATTCATTGTTTGAGTCTAGCTGCAAAGTCTAGAGATAATGGACCAGTCGTTTGGGACTGCAAACCAGACATCCTTGGAGGATAGCTTGGTGGTGTAAAGATCAGACCCGACTTGCCACATCCCCCAAGGTTAACTAATTTCTTGAGGCAAGAATAGAGCAGTGATTAGTAAGAGAACTAGATTTCTAAACTTAACTCATCACAGGCCAGCTGCATCCTCAATTAAATTCAGAGCCAACTTAGGCAGTAACAGGACAAAATCAATTAATGGTAGGTAGAATCAATAATAAATAATTCAGGATCAGTCTTGATCATTTCAATAGCAAACCTAAAGTGTGATTTCTTTGTAAAAAACATGATGGATGTGTAATTTTTACCTCTGGAAAATTCCTATCATGTAAAGTAAGCTATCCTTTTAATTTTAGTGACAGCTCTAAGAAAGGATGAGGCAAAGCCTCACCATTGTACACAACAAACTAAAAAAAAAAAGGTCATATAGCTAACAAATAGCACAACAGTATGTTTCTAAGAGTGAAAATCAGAAAACCAAGGTATAAGCATCTGTGATCATTGCACAATAAAATTTAAAGAGTTATTTTGATGCAAACAACAACAACAACAACAAATAATAACTACTCTGGCTCCAAGATAAGACAACAATCTCAGTTCAAATGCCTCAGATGCTTTTTTGCATCTTGCTTCTTGTGTGACTTGGGCAAAAATCACTTTACCTCCCTGGGCATTAGTTTCCTTATCT